TCTTAATGAAAACAAGGTTTGTTTCCTTTCCTTAGGTATGTAATACTTTCTGTTTATCTCGGAGCCATCTCCTGACCTTAGCTAGTTGGTGAACAGCTCCGGGCTTCAAGGAGGAGGAAAATTCTCCCCCTTTACTTTGTGGCTGCTTGAGATATTCCTGTCTGTAATGTATTTCTCACTTGACCTTACTTTCTACTTCAATCTATATGGAAAAACACAAATAGTACAAGCATGTACGTATAATTGCACAGGTCATTACTGGCCCTTGATTGAGGGCAGGCACGAGGATGATTACAGCTTTCAGGTGACTGATTCCCAGCCTCTTTCTCTTAGACATCCCATAACAGCTTAAAAGCTTTGTTTGGATAGTCTGGAGAGTCTGAGTACCAGCTCTCTCACCACATCCAAGGATGCTGCATTTCCTCAATGCAGTGTAATTTCCTGGTTTCCTAAAGGTCTTTAGCTGGCATGAGAGATAAGGAACACAAAATAGCTTTAACGGTTGTTACATTACCCCTTCTACATTACCCCTTCTAAAGAGCTTGACCAAAGCAACTTAGCTTCTGTGTCTATGGTACCTGTTAGCACTCTCCCCAGGAAGCTGAAGCTGAAGAGGGTTTTAATAAACTAAATTTTAATTGCTCCAATCCTATCCTTCAGCAGATAGTGTCAGGCTATAAGACCTCACTGGTGGTGCTGAGCAGAGCTTCAAATTTGCACATGCTCCAAGTTCTTCATCTTTGTTTGACTCCTTTCTCTCATAGGTTTGAGAGAGAGTCGTGTTTGGTGGCTCACTCAAAAGAAACACTTCAACAGGCAGCTGATTTCTTCACTAATAATTTTTTGTTGTGTTTTGAAGTTTCTTAAGGCAAGTATGCATGGACCACAGCAAAACACAATCAAAAGGGCTCTTCTCTTTGCAGTATCTTGGGCTATGATGTGTCCCTGAAAAATGGGAAGAGCAGCTTTACTCAGAAGAAAAGCTGATTCCTGAGTCCCTGTGGAAAACTTCCGTGTTAGCCAGTTGCTTTGTGTGGAAAACCAAAACCATGCAAAACTCCTCAGATTGGAAAAGGATTTGTTGTTAGGATATGTACCTGGTCTCTCTCCTCCGCAGGGGCAAAGGATCTTAAAAGAGCAGGAATTTCCCTTAGGAGTACTTTATTTATTGAGGCTGAGGCGTTGTTGAGCACCGATATCCAGGTTGTCCAGTTCCAATCTTCAGCACCCATAGGCTTAATAGATATTATTATATTTGTTTTCCGGAGGGATGATTTCAGGCACTGCAGGGACGTATGTCTGTGTGACTGAAAGTCCACACTTCCCCGTCTACCGCGCTCCCATCTCACGATGGGGGGGTAAGTCCTGCTCCTGGGAAACCCAGCCCAGAGGGATTGCTCTTCCCACGCTCCTTCTCACAGTGGGGCCACTCCAGTTGCTGGACAAAAGGCCACTGCTGGGACACATCTGGTTGCAATATTCAGGGATCCAGATGGACTCTGAGACACAGCCCTGCAGATAACATGGGCACACCTGAACGTAGCGTGGGCTCCCACAGCACGGGGAGAGGCTTGAGTTCACAAATTAGCTTCTTTTTACAACCACGCTGGGAACACCAGTGTTGCCAGCACCGCAGTTGGTACAGAGGAGCCCAGGGGACCCAAATCTAGAGCCCCCTAGTAAGACTCCACCTGCACAAATAAATGCATTTCAAATTCATTTAAAATTGTTAAGGCAATGAGGTTCAGAACAAGAGATACACAAAGTCACATACCTTTGGCCGGTTATCACTATCACTGGGGCAAATGACAAGCTGCTTTTTCACACACATAAAATTTTCTTACTGCTCTATTTTCTAGGCTAAAATTTTCCATGCCGCATTCCTGGAATATGCTGGCAGATGTGGAGAGGGGATTGCTTTCCCACTACTAAACAAGCAACAGTTCTGAAACCTTCCTCTTAAAGTACCAGTAGTTGCAGGTGAGCTGAGAAGAGAAATCTGGAATTTTGCAAGGAAATTGACTCTAATGAGAAAAAATATATTATTCTTAGTGTTTCAGTGATCAGTGTTTTTGGTTTGATTGAGCTATGGTCTCATGGGAGGAGAAAATATCGCTCTGCGTGAGCCCATTTTCTCAGAGACCCTTTTCAATTGGGCTGCTAACACGGGCCACGGTGTGCGTAGATGGCCATCTGATTTAGAGCAATTGAGAATAAAAAAAGTTATAAAAGCAGGAAATGAGGCAAGGGTTCCACAGAAAGAGACAGAAAACTATCAGAAAATAAAAGGAAAGAAGAAATGCTGTGTAAGGAGAAGGGAATTTAAAAAAGGAGCCATGTATAACTAGCACAGTATTTATACAGCGTTTAAGGTAAAAATGTCCTTAATTTATGCTTATGAAAGTACATCAGAATGCTTTCAGTATTGTCAGGAGAGTTCAACAACATCCTGTCAACAACGGAAAGCACCAGAAGAATTTCACTAATCCCAATAGGCAAAAGCAATTCTTTCGGCTTTTCATCCTAATTTGAAACACAAACTTACTAGCAGATGGTGCCTAATTTTCTGACCAGCTTTTGATATTTCCAGGGCCGGTAACTACTGACTCAGAATCTCTCTGTTACAAAATGACTGACAATAAGTTGGCTTATTTTGCACAGAGATGCTCACAAAACTGCCATTAAAACACGTGTAAGATTCAGCTTCAAAGGACAGCACTTACCTAGTTTGAGACACCTACCAGCTGCTCTAGCAGCCAAACCATTTAGAGCTTCCTCGGCGTTCTACATTTTGAAAGTGTCATGCACACATTTTGAGATGTGTGTTTATTGGGACATCACAAGTGATTACTCGTTTAACCAGCCTTTATTTTCCACTGCTCTCTGCCGCTTGTCACTTTTGCACTCGGTGAAGTAGTCAAGGTGGTGAATTTCCTGCATGGGCTGTAATCCAACACTCACAATTACTTCTTTTTACTTTATCAGAAAGACCGAGGGCCCTACTCTAGACTATGAATATTTCCAAGATGGTGTTAAATGACAGCTTCACTAACAGCTCATCCAACTGCACGATTGATGGCTTCAAGCAAGCTGTTTATCCTGCCACGTATCTCATTATCTTTTCCCTGGGAGTTGTTGGAAACAGCTTCTCCATATATGTCTTCTTCCAGCCTTCCCAGAGAAAGACTTCAGTAAACATCTACATGCAGAACTTGGCCATTTCAGATCTCATGTTTGTGAGTACTTTGCCCTTTCGGGCCACCTATTTTCTGTTAGGATCGCGCTGGATATTTGGTGAAATCCTTTGCAGGATCATGACTTACAGCTTGTACGTTAACATGTACTGCAGCATTTATTTTCTCACCGTGCTGAGCGTGGTTCATTTTATAGCCATCGTCTACCCGTTCAAGCACTGGAAAGTAACTAACGCTAGGTATGGCAGGATAACATGCACAGTGATATGGGTCTTTGTGCTGACAGCCTCCAGCCCGCTGTTAAGCAAAGAAATTGCTGGGTACAGCCACTCAGCCAAGTGCTTGGACCTCCACCCAGACAGCACACTCAGGCTCTTCCTGATGAACAATGTCGTCCTTGTGGTGGGCTTCATCCTGCCGTTCTGCACAATTATCATCTGCTACGTCTTTGCCATCAGAGTGCTGCTCAAGACCGGGACTCCTCATCAAAAAAAGACGGTCTGTCACAAGAAGGCACTGTCGACCATCATCATCACTCTGATCCTGTTCCTCCTGTGCTTCCTACCATATCACATACTGCGAACTGTGCACCTGAGGCACAGTGAGTGCCACCAGGACAACCTGCCTTTGCACAAAGCGGTGGTGATCACTCTCTGCCTCGCCGCCATGAACAGTTGTCTCGATCCTGTGCTCTATTACTTTGCTGCTGAAAATTTCAAAGCACGAATCAGAAGTTTATACCGCAGGTAGCTGATTCAGAATTGCAAAATTACATATATGCATTCCTGATAGGACATCTAGACTGTGTCCAAACAATTAAAGACAAGAGGCCTCGTGGTGCTAGCCAGCCTGTAGCCACATAGCTCAATGCTAGGCTCAGATGGAGAAAAAGCATCTTGGAGAGAGCTTGTTGGAGATGTCCAAAACCAAGACAGGAGCTCACTAACATTAAGCAGTGTGGATGATCAGAGGTCAGGTGCCTGGGCAAAGTCCCTGGTCCTCTTTTATTTAGCATTGTAGATATGCCTCCACTGTTCACCCTTGCCAAGGCAAGGGACTGAAAGAGCGGTGTTCTTTTCTCAGTGTTGTCACTAATTTGCCTTGTTACCAGAGTATTTCATTTCACCTGTGATTTGAAGGGAAACTGTTCACCTAACTATCATAGTGTCCTTGAGCTCCATTTCCCTGCATGTGTAGAAGTGCACATTTCGGATGCGCTGATACCCAACAGCTTCACGGTGCCTTGTCAGTTCTCTGTGCAAACATTGTCCAAAGGTTTGCCTATAACAGAAATATAAAGCATTACTGATATTTTCTGCTGAGGCTGACTTACAAAGCAGGCAGAGAGCCAAACAGGACCTGGCACTGGCTCAAGCTATTCAGAAAGTATTAGCACTTCTAGGTTTTACACTCCCAGGTATTTCGTTTAATATTTCACTGACTATCAAGCCAAACAATGATTTCAAGCAAACAATTTCAGTATTGCAATGATATAAGTAATGTGACCATTGAAAGCAAGGGTAGGATGCTGGCTCGCATGCGCGGAGCTGCACCCTGCCTCGCTTTGGGTGCTCTCTGATCCCTTTAAGACCATTGCAAAACTTATTTTCCTGCTCAGTGTTGCCTATGCTTTCCTGAAATCTGTGCAGTTGAGGTTAGGCAGCTCAGTCCATATGCAGGGATGCACAGCCAGATTTTAAAAATATTTAGGCTCAGACAGGTAGCTAGTAGGACATTTGGCAGTGCAGCCTTAGGGGGTGGTTTCCAGTCTGACAACAAACTGCTGGCAAAAGAGGTGTCCCTAATCCCTCACCTCCTGCCTGCTCCAAGCAGAAAACTGTTCCCTTTTTCAGAAGATTAAACTACCAGTTGCTCTGCACTGCCTGACATCGAGCAGGACCAATGCAGCAGGAAAACCACGTAGCCAGGAGCAGGAGGAAAGATGGGTGGCAGAGAAGAAGGAGGAGCACTGTTTTAGAAAGTAGTGGGGAGCTCCACATACACAGGCTTTGGAAATTTGGAAAATCTTTGGAAAAATCTGCATTTTTAAGCCCCTGAATATTTTCTAAAATGCACGTCCAACAAATCAGGCCACTTGCAATTGTGTGCACTCTGGGTCCAAATTCAGTTTGACCTTTTTTTTTTTAAGTCACCTCCTTTTCTAAATAAAACCATGCCTGGATTTTTTAGCTTGGAAGATTTGTCACATTTGTGAGGAAAATGTCCTGTCTCATAGAAAGATTTGATACAACACTGAAAGATTTCCCTCCCCGTGGAAATCCTCCTGAAGAAGGTTTCTCTCAGTGAAGATACTTTCTCAGTGCTCTGAACTTTTTTTCTGAACTCTATAAGGTGAGGTTTACTATTCTCAAACCAAAATAACTGCAAGCAGCTAATTTCAGCTCTGTATGAAATACAAGGAAAACGAATCATTGCTGGCCAGATGGAAAAGTACTCAACGTATCAATGGGAAAGTCTCATTTTTCTTGGCTACCTAAGGGTTAGCTTCAGCTGAAGAGTCAATCTGTTTCACTCATTTTATGCTTTGATATAAGCACAGATTGTATAATAAGTCTTCACTAATGTTTATTTTCCAAATCATTGTTTCAGGAATTTGATAGGCTTATTTTATGTGTCCAGAAGCAGACCTGAGGCCTCATCTGCTGATGCCATGTTAGCTCATGGAGTGCTTGGTCCCATGCTATTGAAAAAAAGATAATATTACCATTAGTTTGCCACAGGAATGGGATCAGGATGGTATCTGGTGCAGAGAGGTAGTGCACAAATGACTGGAAGGAAGGGAGCAAGCTCTTTTTCCATGGTTTTCTCCTATCAGGAGTAATCCTGAACAGGGACGAGTGACAACCTTGGAGCCTTTGACAAGATACTATACACTTTACTATCAGGAAATGATAAAAATAAGAGGTGGTTATCCACAGTTTAATTGCACTAGAATGTATTCATTTCTGTGTCCATCCAAATGCACCCTCTTATCAGAGAGTTTGGCATCTAAAGGACAAATATATCCCACATATAAGGTCACACCTTTTGTATAGACCACGCCACAACTTTGTTAGCAATCGAATTAACTGTCAAGAACATGTTCCGATAAACTAGATTTGCTAGTTCTTGAAGTTATATTTTTATTGATTGCACAACTAACAAGGAATCTCCTTGGAGAGCAGGCAAAGAAGGGCCAAGACAGAGCTGCTGCATTTCCCTAAGTGGACTAGCCTTTCACTTGAGAGCAATGTCTTGGAGGGAGAAACAGCATCCTGCTGTCTTCCTGACTTTATCAGGAAAATAGTAGAGAACATCAAAAATTGGGGTGCAGATAAAATAATTTTTTTCTTTAGTTGCCAAAGGATTTTAAACCACCCTTATTAGGGATCCTCATATCCAGCTATAACAGCGTTTGAGTAACATGCCACACTTGTATTTACTGCCATTCCTCCATTTGGTATCTCTGTACGTCTCCACTCACTGACTGAACAAAATGTTCTCTACTGTGGCATATCATAGTAAAAAGTGTAGTAAAAAAAGACACCATATTTATCCCCCAAAATAAAGCTCCTGACAGTTAAATTACTGGCAATGCCTCCAGGTCCCTCAAGGGACCACCTACCCTTAAAAACTATTTTGATATGTTTCTCAATTTTCCAGGAGAAAGAATCTAAGAACAGCGCTGCACCTACAAAGTTAAAGCAACAGGAAACTTTTCAGCTGAAAGCTGCACCAGAAACAAAGACAGATTTTTGACTGCCTCCCGAACCATTTGACCTGCGGCACAAGGAAAGGCTGCTCTTCACACTTGCTGCGCAGCCCTGGCTCAGGGCCACGTGTGCCTGACACTGCAGCATGGCAGCCAGCTGGGGACCAACACATGCCTGGGGAACGTGGACCCATCACCGCCTCCCACTTCACCTCTTCTCCAGGTGTGACCCTGGGCCCTCCCGCAGGACAGAATTGCTGCTCGCTGTTTTATAAAAGAGCCTTTCATATACATAAAAAAAGAAAGCGTTACAGATCAGAAGACCAAAAAAAAAAAAGTTGAGGATAAATGTTACTCTGCAACTAGTCAGCGGCAAAGAAAAGTCTTTCACAGAAGACTGGTGCAGATGGGAAGAGAATCACTGAACAAGATGGTTTTCTCTGATATGGACTAAAGAATTTTATTGTAACTACTAGAGTATGTATAACATATTGATAATATATGCAGTATGTGTATCTTTTCTAATATTGTTTTATATATATATTTACGTGTAATGTACTATTATATTATAAGCAATGTGTTTTCCCGGGTAACTTTCATGTTCATGATGTAACCTCTGCCTTCCTCCTCACACATCCTGTTACCATGACTTTTATTTTGCTTAAGCTCCTAAAGGTGTCTGGGGAAATGTTTCATTACTCAGTGCTTCCTTCTGAGATGCATGTTCCTCTGTGCTGCAACAGCAGGTTGTGCTGCCAGCAAAGCAGACACTGAACTTTTCCCCGTGCCTTAGGGCTGCTGCTTGTCTTGCTCCTTTGGGATGGACAAGTTAGAAATGACCTTCTGCCCCTCCAGCTGATGAGCATGGAAATAAGATCTGTCCAGAATAATAAAATGTAGTCAAAGTCAGGAGAAGTCAGATGCTATTTCAACAGTGACTCCATCCATGGACTAATGCTTTGATTTCCTGTGTGGTATGAGTGAGATTAAATGAGAGTCTCTTTGAAAGACAGGGGAAATGAAGAGCCAGTGTAGACTCCAGCAGAGAGTCCCCTCTTGCCCAAGGTGCTTCAGCTTTCCATCCTGGGCTAACTGTGACGCGCCACGCGATACCGCTGTCCCCACGCAGATGCGCAGTCCAGGCCCCCACACAGTGTGCCATGTCTATACAGGAATCTTACTGGACATCTGCAAAGAAAGCAGTATATTTAATTGCATGCAGCTGATGTTACGTAGGTGCATCTGTTCGTCCACGAGTCAAAAGTTTAAGGAAGCCAAAGAAATTACACGGTTTCCTTTGTCCCAAAGTCCCTTTTTGCCTTTCAGGAAAACTGGTCTGATTTCCACCACCACTTCCCCTCTCTTTGATTTTACAGCTGAATGAATAAAGCTGACTAATGCTGGAGCCAAAATCTGGTCATCAAGTCACATTCATGCTCACGTGAACAACATGTGAGCCTTTATTTCTGAAGCTGAGAAATAAAGCTGTGGACCTTGATCCACAACCTGCATCACCATAAGTAGGGCTTGAATGCTTGGAGTGGTAGTTGGCAGACAAATACTTAATCACATTTGCTGTCCTCATTTCCCAATGTTAAGCAAGTTAATTGTTTGCCAGTAATATGTATTCCTCTAAGCAACTGTGTAGATGCAGCTGGAGAAGATTCGCTCAGCAATGCGCTGTGTTTCCTAACATACAAAATGTTGATAAAGAAAATCCTTGAAGAGAAGCACTCTGCACAGATGTTTCTTAAATTTTTGCCAGCATTTCCATTCTGGAAATAATTTTGGGTGACCTCCCACTGCAAGTCTCCCTGCCTGTTTCTTAGGACGTGTTTTAAATGGTGGGTTACAGAAGCTAATAACGAAACACATGAAACAGGGAGTCAGCCCTGCCCTTGGAAAGCACTGTCAGCTCCCATTTCTCAGCTTTCTGATGTAGTTATGGCCTGGCCATGCAATGATTTTGGTATGAAGCTCACAAAGGCGGAAAGTCTGTTGTCCTGGCAGCCTGCCCCCAGGCCCCTTCTGAGGCCCAGAAAGCCCTCCACAGCAGAGAAATCCCTGCGTGTGTTTGGCTTCTCCTTGCAACTGTCCTCTGAGCAGTTTCAGGAAAAATTTTTTTGAGTGCTTTGCTTGTTGCTGAGATACGGCTTGCTCACTGCAAGTTAGCTTCTTTTTTTTTTTTTCTTGGCAACTACAGGGACAAACAACCCACGGAGACTGAGAAAAATAATCCAGCCCAAGAGCCATCATACATTTTCTGAAAACTTTTGTTACTCCACTTGGAGCAGTCTCTTCTGGTGGTCCTTCACCGCTCAAAGAGAACATATAAAGCCAAGTCAGAAATGTGAATATGCTCTAAAAAACAGTACTCTCAGATTTTTTTTTTCTTTAATTTTGAATCACACCAAACACAGCCATTGATGACATTGAACCCAGCCAGTCCACACCACACTAGATATAGGCTACAGCTAAGCAGGGAGAAATCCCTTTATAAAGCCGATGGGAGCAGCACGGGCACACGCAGCTTCTCCTCCTCCTGAAGTGGAGGTGGTGTACGGAGGACATGAATCGGTTCTGCATCTTTCACAGATAAGCGGTTGCTTCGGCGGTCTGCGCTTCTCACTACGAGTGCTCTCTTTGGCTGTACGTGTCCATGGACCTTCTCATTTCCTGGGCACATTCCAGCTATGCCTGACTCCATGCCAGCACAAACCCAGCCTGTTCATCAGCCTTCCACATACCCTTGGGTGCTGGTTGCCACAGAAAGGAAACCAGGTGCAGAGACCAGGTGGGAAAGACAGGCTCCAGCAGGTCTCCAGCCTGAAGGACAGAGGGAGCACACCCATGTGGCACTGAGTTGTTAATAGCAGCTACAATGCAAGACTGGCCTCTCCCCAATTCCCTTCCCGCTTCAGATTTTTAATTGCACTTAGGCAGAGCTTTAAGCTTAAATTAGCTGGGCTATGTAGCTACAGATTGCCCTGGGAAGGGTAAGGGCATAAGGGCAGACATCCCAGTTGGGGATGGCATAGAAGAACACGTTGTTGCACAGCCTTTCTGAGAAGGATGGGGTGGTAAAGCCAATGCTCACAGACTGAGAAGCTGTTGTCCACCTGTAGGCCCTTTTCCAGCGTCACGGTCTCTCATTTTATCCTTTACATTCAGGGCCATCACCATAGCTCAAACAGTAGCTCATGTTCTCACACAGAGAACCTATCTACATCCTGCAAGGAGCAGGATGAGCTCAGGGTCTACCACCATGGTCTGTGGTGGCTCCTCACTATTTTCCTCCTGTCTGATCTAGGGCTTGCATGCCCATCTTTCAGGATAAATGTGGAACTTTTCAGGACCTGGTTCACAATCAGCAAAGCTCAGCAGTACTCAAGGACATGACACAGGCAGCCTGGAAATGGGGACAGCAAGGTCTGCTTTGGGCTGTGCTATGGGAGGGGATAAATGTGGAAATGCAAAACTTTTCTCAGGGTGCCCATTCCAGTGAAGCACTTTACCCTGGCAAGAGCCAAAAAATGTTATTGTTGTCCACAAAAAAATTATCTTGGGCTTCTCCAAATCCACAAGCAAAGAGCAGGCCCTCACAGCCACCACCCACCACAAAGCTCTCCTAGGACCCTGAGGCAAAGCAGCACTGCAGAAGTCCGTGGACTGGAGGAAGTCTGTGGGACACTCCTAGCCCATCCTGGCCTGCTCCAGCATCAGGGCCACCAGTGTGCTGAGTCAAGGACAGGTAGCATTTGGAAAAGTCTTTCTAACCACCACTCTGCAAGTAAGACACTTTCTCCCGGATAAACCAGCAGAAAGTTTCCACTCCCACAGTAAACTATACTCTATCTAAGGATTGGGCTCATGAGGGAACACGGCTTTGGAGACAGTTCAAGACATGCTGGCAAAGGCTTTATACCTGGTCAGAAAAGAAGGAGCAAGGATGATGGTCATTCCTGGAGCCCCTGAGCAGCAATCAGGATCTTCAGAGAGCCAAGACACCCTCAATCCCACCCCTCTCCCCTGCCACCCAGAAAACAGGCATTGGACAGCTTCAGCCCAGTGAGATAGACAAGATCTCTCTCTCTTTCTTGCTCCTGGCCTTGGCAGCCCAATGGATGGTGAACTGGGGGGACGCTTTTCAGCAAAGAGTGATGAATGCCGATTTTAAGAAGTACCCAGCAGGGTGTTTCACAAAGGACCGGGATCACGTGGTAAAGAAATGCCAACAGTTGGAGGAATAATGACAGAAACTTTCTCAGAAAATGTCAAGTAAAAGCAAGGAAATTCTGAAATCATTTCCAAGAACCGATACTCATGGCAACATCTCCATTTCAGAAATACATTTGGTTTGAGAGACTGCCAGAAAGGAGCCTTAGAAGTTTTTGCTGTGAGGGTGACAGAGCACTGGAACAGGTTGCCCAGAGAGGTTGTCAGGAGTCTCCTTCCCTGGAGACATTCAAAACCCGCCTGGACGCGATCCTGGGAAATATGCTCTAGAGGACCCTGCTTGAGCAGGGGGGTTGGACTGGATGACCTCCAGAGGCCCCTTCCAACCTCAACCATTCTGTGATTCTGTGATTCTGCGAAGTCACACAAGAATACGCCCAAGTTGCTTGAGTTCTCATGACTGAGAACTTTCTTCTTTTTTTCATACTCAGTAACTTCTAAGATGTGTAATTTCTGACTCATAACGGGCATTACCATAGCCATTACACAGTCCTATAATATACTTGCCCTCAGAGTACTTTCGTATCCCTAATTTCTCACTACACATTTATTCATCTTAGATTTTATGTTTATTATGCAGTAACTGAAGGCAGCAGCAGAACATTAAAATATCTTAGTCATAATAAGTAAAGGGGTAAAGTATTTTCACTCACATAGTACATTAAGAAAAAGCATGTACATGCATGTATATTATATACATTATATAAATAAATATATGCACATATATGTAGGCACACTGTCACATGTGTACTATATATAGTATTTATATGTTTATATGTTTGTGTATTCATATGCATAAGCATAGTTCTCAATTTGCAAAGTCAGTGAATAAATATTTGATAATCAGGGCCAAACTCCTCAAGATTAATGTCTTGTATAACCCTATTTCATTAATGTCTTAATAATGGATTTTAAAAAAGAATATATTCTGAATTAGTCAGCCATTCCTACTGCTCCAGCAAATTGCAGTTCAAATCTGACGTACAAGGCAGTGAAACTTTGGTTCCTAAGTATCAAAGATCATACCAGCACTGGTGAAACATCTTCATCTCCGGGGGGGAAAATAAAAAACAAACCCAAATGCCTCTTGTCCTATATCTTGTCATATATTGTTTTAATGTCCTTATTGCAAGATAATTTTTATTTCCAGTTTCACCAGGACTCCCACTTTGGCCTGAGGTGATACATAAAAGTTTGACAAGCTGCCTTTTTTAAAAACTTGAC